ACACATCGATGTGTTTTTATTATATAAAATTAAACCATTTAATTGGTTTAATGTTGGTCTGTTTGGTCACAGACAATAATATAATTATTTAAAACCTTTTTAATGGTCGTAACGTGTTTCTGTGTCCTCAGCTGAGCTGGTGGTGGATAAAGCCATGGAGTTAAAGTTTGTCGGAGGAGTTTATGGTGGAAACATCAAACCCACTCCGTTCCTCTGCCTCACGCTGAAGATGCTGCAGATCCAACCAGAGAAAGACATCATCGTGGAGTTCATCAAGAACGAGGACTTTAAGTCAGTTTCTGTCTGACCCACTTTACTTTAAAACCTCTTCCTGCTGGTTTTTATTTGAAACACAACAAATATACTTTAAATCATAAGGAGTGTTAAACCTAACGATGGAACCAGAGTCTGATTAAAGATCTGTTTTCTGTCTTTAGAAGCCTGTTTGACTCAGTAAAAGATGTCCTGCAGGTGTGCAGCTGAATCAGGTGTTTCCTCCTCCTCAGGTACGTACGTCTGCTGGGAGCCATGTACATGAGGCTGACGGGCACGGCCGTGGACTGCTACAAATACCTGGAGCCGCTCTACAACGACTACAGGAAGATCAAGTGTCAGAACAGGAACGGAGGTGAGACCACGTGAGACCCCTTAGTGTTCAGGGTTTAGTGTTTGGGACCCTGTGAGACCCCTCAGTGTTCAGGGTTTAATGAGACCCCTCAGTGTTCAGGGTTTAATGTTTGTGACCCTGTGAGACCCCTCAGTGTTCAGGGTTCAGGGTTTAATGTTTGGGACCCTGTGAGACCCCTCAGTGTTCAGGGTTTAATGTTTGGGACCCTGTGAGACCCCTCAGTGTTCAGGGTTTAATGTTTGGGACCNTTTAAATGCAGCACATCATGATTACCGGCTAGCATAAAGAGAAAAACACAGAAACTGAACAAAATCTGATCAAAACGTGAACTCCGTGCCAAAGACAGCGAGTCCTACAGCTGACAGATCCACGAACCTCAGCTGAGTGAAGTTTACCCACCTCACTTTTCTCCACACTCAGACGTCACGTGGTACTCCCTTTTCTCCACCCACCCTCTGACGTCACGTGGTTGATCTTCATGTCGGCTGTAAAACCCTGGTCTGTCCGCCATGATGACGGAACCACTGCTGAGAGACACTGCAGTTTCCTCCATTTCCAGCCGCTCTCCAAACCCAACAGATTGTAAAAACAAAAGCTTCATCCAGGAAACAGACTGAAGATTAAAACTATATGTTGGACTCTCCCGGGTTTACAGCTCAAATCCGTCCTCAATAATCCCATCAAAAAGGAACCGTGACAAAATCCAGAAAACATCTTCAGAGAAAAATAAAATCTTGTTTTAGTTTTCAGAAGAAGCTTCTGATCCGCAGGTAGTGAAGATTGAGCCCTGCTGTCCACGGATTAGAGACAAGCTGCAAAGAAACCGAGCAGTTTTACAGCTTCGTCACAGAAACACCCGCACCTCTAGCTTTTTATGTGTGAGGAGGAATCTGTGACCTCCTTCTTCTTCCTCCTCACTGCCAACAGTCAGCAGGAGAC